AGGTCAATAATCATTTGGGGTTATATTTCAAAAATATTGTTGGTCCGTTAGTACGCATTATGCATAAAGAACAGTACCTATCTGTTCATATTTCAACAAAATTTGCAAGGTGTAGTCGAAAAATGAGAGTTTCTGCTGAAAAATCACCCAAAACATACTGCATATGTTCGCAAAGACTGGATACAAAAGCAAAAATTTGATATTTTGAAATGACCTCCACAATCCGCGGATATGAATCTCGTCGAAAATTTGCGAAATCAACTAAAAGCGCAGCTTACTAAGTATCCAAGTCCGTCCAATGGAGTACATGAACTATGAAAGCAAACCAAGGATATATGGGAGGCTATACCTCCAGAATTTTTACAGAGATACACATTAGGTATGCCAAATTGCAACCAGGAACTAAAAAAAGCAAAAGCATACTAAACATTGTGTTAATAATTCTTTTTTTCGTGAAAATTGTCAAAAAGTTATTAAAAATATATGAGTGCAAAATTGTAACATTTGCCTTAATTTACATGTTTGTCTGCTGGTTTTATTATTGTTGTTGGATTGACTTCAAATCTTTATGAGAGAGGGAGTAGGGGTGTACCAATAAGAATATACAACAAAAGTATGAATGTCGTTAGAACTTGGAAAGATAGCGGTGGCTGAAATAAAAAGTGTTACACCATGTTACAGTTTTGCTCGTCACTGTATATTCTTTAAGAGCACTGCGAACGCTAGCGTTATTTACATTATCTTCACCATAAACTCATCAAATGTTCGGCTCACTCATGACTTTGCACGTGGAGTATATGTAAAATAGTTTATTTGTGGTAATGGCATAATTTTTATTCCGAGCTTTAAAGTGAGGCGAAAAATATTTATCACATTTTTAAAACACAAAATTTAAAACATCAAAACGGCTAAGCTTTTTACGCCAAACTTTTCAGAAACTGACAATAGAGAAAAAACGAGTTAAAAAAAATTGATAACAAATAACCAAGCAAGCAAGAACCACAAAAAGTGTTCCACCGTCTCATCTTCTACAAGGCAGGATGGGCAAATGGAAATGTCATTTACGCCTATCACAGTCAGGTGCTTGTGCCACGTGAAGCAGTCTAGCAAGTTGTCTGCAGTGTCGTCTGCAAAAAATTAGATAGAGCTTGTGAGATTGAAGGCAACATGAGTTTTGCCCACCTGCATCCTCTCGATACCTCTCAGTAATTTCTGAGCGAAGTATTCACCCAGTTTCTGATGGTGGCTTCGATTGCCGAAGGTAGGAGCACTAAAACTAGTTGCTGACCCAGGAATGCCTGGTCTAAGCAAACTCTGGCCAAATGATCAGATGTCTCATAACCAGGTACACCAGAGTGACCTGGCACCTCGTTTATTTCACCATCATATTTTAGTCGAGACTTGCATTTCCGAACTAGTTTGGAAGTACTTAAATATAGGGCTGGTCAATGCCTTAAGTGCAGCTTGGTTGTCACTGCAGTCACGTAAACTCCTTCCCCTCCACCTGTGTTCCACCACGTAGTCCATGGCTTTGAGTATTGCAATTACCTCAGCCTGGAAGACCGAAGCATATTCCTCTACAGAAAAGTGAAGCTTATCTCTATTGACCTCGAAAAATACCCCAGATCATGAGCCAGAGTCAGTTTTGGAGCCATTAGTGAAGATTCGACAATGTGTGTCCGATCTCAGCGATGTAATCAAACCAGCATGCAGTCTCAGGAAACTCAACATTATAGAATCTCTTCAACAAAGGTAATGGTGGCGTACTATCCTGTAGCGTTGAAAAGACACAAGTGCTTAAATCTTTGTCGCCAGCAATTTTCGCCGCGCCCTACTCATTGTCATACTAGCGTCCGGTTCTTTTTAGTCTGCAGATGGCCATTAAGGCTTCCCCACGTATGAAAACACAAAGTGACGGTAAGTACAGTAATGCGTCAAGAGCACTATACACCACTCAAAAGAATTAAAGTTAAATAAAGAGGCTATGAAGCAACCATTTTGGTTTTTTTTCATCGAAACCAGATAAATTTTCGTGGACCCCCATTTAGAACTCATGGACCNTACATTCAAGTTTTGGAAGTGGAAGGAGATTTTTTCTTTCTTGTTGGTAAGTTCCTTAAATTGTCCTGCAGAGCTTAAATCAGATGCATTTTGTGTGGTAAAACGGAAAGGTGTGTTAATAAATGTAATGACGAGGATGTTAAATTTATACTGTGTGGTAATACGAATCATGTCTCTTTAAATAAAAATAAATGCCCTGCATGGGCAAAAGAAAAAGACGTTATTGAAATTATGACCATTAATAAACTCTCAAAAAAAGAAGTTTATGACAATTACAAGGATATCCTAAATACAAATAATCGGTTTTCGCTTTTGGAGAATTTTGATGGGTCTTTCCCGGTGAGAGATAAGAGGTCTAACATAACACAAAATAATAGAATTATTACTAGTAGAATACTAACCAAAACTAAGTATAATGTGGTTTTTAAGGAGAGGATGCCACTTTCCAATGAGACTGAGAATAAACAGCATAATAATGTTTGCAAGGAAGTTATCACTCCGGTTTTCAATAGAGATAAATGGGATAGAGTTTCTGAACTGGAAAGACGTTTGGCCTTGTTGGTTGAGAAATTTCAAATTAATTCTGAGGATCCTTTAGTTAGATTAATGGGTAATTTATGCAAAGTTAATGTTAGTGACCGATGGGTCAGATCTTCTATAACTGATGATAGAAAAGATAAAGATATTACAGCTTAATTGTCAAAGCCTTACGGCTAACAAAAGTTTTATTGATTTTTATATTGACCTCAATGAACAACACAATGCCCTTCAAGAGATTTTTTCGCATGATGAGCAAAAGTGTGAAAATAAATTGATTAATTTTAACTTACTTAAAAAAACTACACCTTTTCCAACTGTATTTCAGAAAAAAGCAATTGTATTTCAGAAAAGCTCAAAACAATTTCAGAAAAGACCAAATGTATTTCAGAAAACCTTAATTGGATTTCAGAAATTCCAATTGTATTCCGGAAAACCTCAATTGTATTTCAGAACAGTGGAAATGTATTTCAGAAAAGCTCAAAACAATTTCAGAAAAGACCAAATGTATTTCAGAAAACCTTAATTGGATTTCAGAAATTCCAATTGTATTCCGGAAAACCTCAATTGTATTTCAGAACAGTGGAAATGTATTTCAGAAAAANCTGAGTATTCCTCGGGGGTAAAATCTGATTAGGGTTGATAATGAGAAGGAGACTGAATTTTGTTGATTCAGAGTTGTATACAAAATTACTGTGGTATGAAAGGGAGCAACAACCGTACTATGGCAGAGTGGCACAAGTCATGACTATGTAATAGTACCCCAAAGTAATTGCAAAAGTGAAAAAAACATTGCAAATTTGTTATATTACACCGTACATATAATGAACTGTTAGATGCTGAAAACGCTTGTAACTTGTAGATCACTCAAGNGCGGTAGTGGAGAAGAAGAAATATGCAGTATATAACGACGTAGACTGATTACGCATTGTTGAGGCTGCCAATAGAGGTGAAGATTGGTGCAGTTTGGCAGCGTCNCCCCAAAAGTACGCCTCGGGGACCAAATGGTAAAAAACTGCAAAAAGGTTTATTACTGTATATTCTGTGGAAGCAGCCAAGGCGAGAAGTTGTGTTTTACCTGCAGCGGAAAAATTTGGATTGTCTTCGGTGCAAGGGTGAAAATTTAAATTTCATTAAATTATCAATTTTTGCGTTTGTGCTTAAATTTTTCAATTTATGATTGGCTAATAATTTGTGAATTTCAAGCAAAGTTTTGTGGTTTTTTATCTATGTATATTAGACTGGGTCGGTCCCCATACAAAAAAAAAAAGTTGCTAANAGAGCAGATCGTATCAAAAGTGCAAGTGGAGCTAAGAAAAAACATTTGCACATCGACCGCAGAAAATTATCTAGAAGGCAAAATGTTTAGCCTTAAAAAGCTACACCATTTGCCAGCGACGATGAATACGCTGGATAATAAGCAAAAGCGAGCAGAATTTGTAACCAAGTTGAGTGCCTTTATTCAACAAGGCAAGCAAATAGTGTACATAGATCAAACAAATTTTAATTTATTTTGTCGCCGCACAAGAGGTCGCTCTCGGTCTGGAACGCGAGCAAGTTTAACGTTGCCTCCATCAAGAGGACCAAACGTTCACCTAATCGGAGCTATAAGCACATCAGGTGTGCTATCAATGGAAACGCGTCGTGGCTCGTTCAAAAAGGAGAGCGCTGCAGAGTGGGTGAAAGAACTTTTAGAGAAGTGGAGAACTTTAGGCAACGATTTGACGGATTTGGTCATTGTATGCGACAATGCACCCTGCCATTCTGGACTAGAGCATATTTGCAATAACGGATCAGCCACTCTTTTACGTCTAGGACCATATTCCCCGATGCTAAATCCGATTGAAAATATATGGTCAAAAATTAAATCGTCCGTAAAAACTAATATGGCACTTCCTACGATAAATGGCCGAGGAGTAATAGAAAGGCGTCTGCAATATTTGGAAGAAGTTATTCGTCAGGCAAAGGATACTGTTGCTACAGCAGATTGTGCTCGCGCTATACAGCACTCGTCCATTTTTTTTTCAGATGCTTTGGCGTTGCGTGACATGCCGGTTGGAATGTAATCCCAAGTTCGTTCTTTTTTAATAAATTCGCTGCTCTGTTCCGTCGTTGCAACTTGGTTTTTTATTTGGTCGGAACGGGATGTTATATTTTGGTCTGCTCTTAGAAATTTGTATGCTTCTTTTCTGAAAAACATTTCAGTTTTTCTGAAATACATTTGGCTATTTCTGAAATACATTTGCGCTTTTCTGAAATACTTTTCTGGTTTTCTGAAACACATTTGAGGTTTTCTGAAATACAATTGGAATATCTGAAATACATTTCACTTTTTCTGAAACAAATTTGCGCTTTTCTGAAAAACAATTACATCTGAAATACAATTGGAAAAGGTGTAGATCTGATGGCTATGGGGATGTAGCTGTTGGATTTAGGAAAAATATAAGATATGAAGGAATAATATATAATACTGTTCATGATATTATTATTGCTAGCACTTTGAGTTTAGATGAGAATTTTGTCATCTGCTATGCTTATTTTTCCCCTAGTATTAATTCTAGTATTTTTGGTTAGTAAAGTGGTTATGAGATTAATAGACTTCTATCTTTTTTTGGCAAAATTTAATAACTTACTCATTTTGGGTGATTTCAATGCAAAAAATAGGGTTTGGGGTGAAAGTGTTGGTAATTTTGAAGGTAAGCTTATTTTTAATGAAATTAGAAAAGTGGGTTTTATGTGTCTTAATGATGATACAAATACTTTTTCAGAAGCTAGAAACAATTCTTTTGTTGAATCTGTTTTGGACTTATCCTTTACCAATTCTCACTTCAATATTTTATGGAGTTGTAGTCCTGCGTATGTGGGGGGTAGTCACCATCACCCAATATCTATTGTTATAGAGGGAATCAAAAGAGTTTCTCGGCCTTTTATTTGCAAATACAAACATATCTGTGAAGGGCTGGATTTAGTATAAATCGGCATTCGCAGCATGTGATTGCGAATGATTCACAGGCACTGAGCCGTTGAACAACGTTTGGCAAATAAACGTGCCAGAAATAGTTCCGATACTAGCAAGTCAATATTCTTATTAAGTCTCATCGAAAAATTTCTTGTCGTTTAAAGAATAAAGGGAATGCCGCATTATACTAAAGCCAGCCTTTCGACATAAGCTACTTTTCCATACGAACACAGATATGAAAGCTTTATCGTCCATTCAAGGTACTTGTGATTCGGGGGATGTTGTTGTGGCTATTAAGCAAGAAATTTCAAAGGCTACTGTTGATTTAAATACTGTAAAATTTACTCCTAAAGAGTGGTGGAATAAGGATTTAAGAAGGATGTATCGTAGGTTATTGGCTAGTAGGAAAAAGAGATTAATTTGTAGAATTGAGGATATGGATCTTGCGTGTGTGAGAGCTGAGGAATGGAAAAAAGCGGTTAAGGGTGGTAAAAGTAGAAGTTTTAAAGAAAGAATTTATGAATTGAATTCTTGCCCTAACTCCAGGGAGGCTTGGAGATTGGTAAATAACATTAAAGGTAGTAAATATAAAAACGTTGAATGGATAAGAGATGACAATGAAAGATATTTAAATTTTCTCAAAGATCAGGTCTGTATTTTGAATGATGATCTCAGTGTTCAGCAGAATTTTTTTAATGTGGATCCCCATATTAGTTGTAGCGATTTAACCTTCTCCCTAGTTGATATGGATTTAGCCTTAAGTAAGAAAAAAAGGTCGGCTGCGGGACAGAATTGTATTACTTTTGAGATGCTTAAAAATTTGTTTGATGAGTGCAAACGTTTGTTGATTGAAGATCTTTGCTTTCATTTTAACAATAACTTTGTCAAGGCTGATTCGAGAGTTATACGCATAGTTCCATTCCTAAACCCAATAGAGATTTAAATGATATTAAAAACTATAGGGCGATATCTCTTTACTTTCTGTTGTTGTTAAAACTCTTAATATGATTGTTAAAGATAAATTGGTGAATTGGTCGGAGTTAAAGGGTATAATACCAGCACGAAGTTTTGCATATAGAAAAGGTAAATCAGCCACAATGTGTTTAAATGAGTTTTTGCATTGGGTTGGAATGCTCAAAGTTAGAAAACAGAAAATTTTTATTTGTGTTTTAGATATTAAAGATGCGTATAATTGTGTTAATCTTGTTTTTTTTTGCGAAAAATAATGATAAATAAGGGTTTTGATATGAAATTTGTCAATTAGATTTATATTTTTTTCTAAGAGGATTTTGAAATAAGGTGATAAACAGGTACTTGTAGATAATGGTTTACCTCAAGGCAGTTGTTTATCTCCCTTACTTTTTAATATTTATACTGCTGATCTGCATCTTTTAAATGATGGCAATGTTATGCTTTTCCAGTTTGCTGATGATTTTGTTTTAATGTGTCATGATAAGAATGAAACAAGGGCTTTGAATTTGCTTAAAGATAGTATTAGCTGTTTTGAACAGAGATGTGGTGCTTTGAATCTCACTGTTAATCATAGCAAAACGAAGTTTATGAATATTGGTGTAACCAGAAGAAAACAGTTTCCTCTTAGAGTTAATCAGCAAGAAATTTAATAGGTTTATAGTTTGAAATGATTGGGTAGAATTATATCTGCAAATGCTACGGTTAATAGTCATATAGATATGATTAAAAAAGAGATTACCCCTAACAAAAATTTACTAATGAAATTAACGACTATTAAATCTGGACTTGAACCTCAAATTGCTCTTAATTTCTATAGGGCTTTTATTCGCTCTAAAGTTGAATTTGCCAATATCACTTTTGCCAATGCACCTGCTGGTGTTAATAAAAAAATACAAATAATTATTAATAATATGCTTAGGAGGTGTCTTGGGGTTCCCCCCAGCACTCCAATTCATAGTCGTTTTGCTTTAGCGGGTGAAATTCCTACTTTAAAAAGAGCTGAATGGCCCACTGCTAAGGAGTTGTGTAGACAATGGATGTCTAATTTTGAATTGAGAAATGTTTTAGGTACGGGTCAGGCTATCAAATCTAGCTATGGGCATGTATATATGAAATTTAAAGATATTTTTAATAATATTAATACTAATACAAAATTTGTTAAACACAAAGATTTAACTTTACTTAAATCAAGATTTGATGTGTCAAAGAAAGATATATGTGCAGAAAAGATGAGGGCTTTTTATTTAGAGGAAAAAAATCGGTTGCAAGATGATGGGCTCTTTATTTTAGCTACTGATGCGTCGCATGAACGAATTAGAACAGATCTGACCGGTTGAGAAGCAGCCATTTGTAATAGCAATTGAGAAAAAAGTGTGTGACGTTCGTAATTTTGAAGTTTGCTATTTCTGTTTTGCTTCTTTCTTTATGGGTATTTTGTCGGTGGTTTATTTCAGTGATTTTTAAGTGATTTTTTGTGCAAATGTAATGAATTGTGAATGAAATGAAGTGCGCGGTGATTGGATGCAAAAACACGTACAAAAATAATAAATTGGTTAGCACAAACATGTGCACAACATTGCTTGCAGTTTTTCTTTATGCTTCGTCTTCATATTCTTTGTTTACTTTTCACAGAAAATAACATGGCGCCGAAATTACAAACGTCAGCCAGAAAATTACTTTTTTCTTTTGCTTCATCTTGTCACATCTTGTGTAGTTGGATCATGGATGCGTCGGTTAAGGAGGATGTTGTAGGGGTTGCAGTGCATGATGTTAGGAATAAGATCTCATACTTATATAAGTTAGAGGATCGTTTTTCTTCAACTTTTAGTGAGTTAGTTGCAATTAAAGAGGCGGTAGTTTTTTTTTGTTATTTTTTCTGATAGTTTGGCGGTTATAAGTGCTTTAGGTCAAATACTACTGTTCTTTTACTATAGCTGATATCACAACACAATTTTAAGGTCTCAGCTTGTTAGTATTCATATTATTTGGGTGCCTAGTCATGTTGGCATTGATTGGAATGAGAGGGCTGCATTAGTTACTGGTAAGGTTCTTCAGGTGCCTTTAACTCCCTTTGAAGCGCTGAATAAAATTCATAGGATTGTTTGGAATGAGTGGGAAAGTGAGTTTTTAAGTTTAAGTAATATTAAAGGTAAATGTTTTGTAGTAAATGGTGGTAAGGTTTCTCATAAGCAGGCATGGGCAGAGAGTTAGCAGGTGCTAAAAGAGCGTAAGCGTTGCGTGTACGTCACCGTTGCCGCTTTGGTAATTTTCAAGGAATGAAACCGAAACCCAAACCGAAACCGTAACCGTTTAAAACCGTTTCGTTTTTTAAAACCGAAACCGAAACCGTAACCGTTATCTTAACCTGAAAAGGAACGATACCGAAACCATTTCAATCACAGGTTTCAATCTGTTTCCAGAAATTTACAAAAATAATAAATCAAAATTTCTTTGAAATAAATGATTTATTTAACCAAAATCAGCAATATTTTGTTAAATTCTTGTTAAGTAGTAAATAAGTATGTCAAGGTAACTTTTCGCAAAAAGCTACTAAAATGGTGCCTAGAAGTCATTTTGATTTTCATTTTCACGTGTATAGTTGTAAAGGACACAGAAATGAAGGGGTTTCATAATTATGTAGTAAATATATGACGAAAATAACAATTATATTTTAGTTTTCATACACGTTTAGTTTTACAGCAAAAAGGAAACATTTAAGTGAATCTGGTGATGACGTTGTTGCTGTGTATCTGTGTAGTTTTCAGCGAAAACTGGTTTTCGTTTGACAGATTTTACATGGACGAAAACACAAGTTTTAGGTCGAAAATCAGTTTTAGCAACGAAAACATGTTTCCGATGTGACGTGAATCAGCTGTTTCTCGACTTGTGGGCACGAAATGTGTTTTTTTGCGTTCCCGTACTTCTGGACTTTGTTCCATTTTTGAAAGAAAATGTTTCTCTTATTCTCTAATTACCAAATCCGGTCCGGATTGTTAGGGAAAGAACCTAGTGTTGATATTATCAGTGAACTGTAATTTTAAATTTTCTTTCCTCAACCTTTAAGACATTGTGATTTAAATAATATCAACAAAATTTCTGTGAAAAACCGAAACCGAAACCAAAACCGAAATAAATTTTGAAGAACGAAACCGAAACACTTGGCAAAACCGAAACCCAAACCGGAACGTTATTTTGAATCGGTTTCATTCCTTGGTAATTTTTAACCAAAATTGGTAATTTTTTTCTTTATTTATCAAGTTTGGTAATTTGGTAATTTATTTTTCAATTTGGTAACTTTTTCTCTTCGGTCTTACATGTCAAATAGGTTAATCTTGGTTCTGGTTCCACATTAGTAAGTGGCCGGTAAGCGTTTCCTTTTATAGAAAACCCAGGTAGTCCTGAAAGTTTCGCAAGGCGAAAGTTGTTCCAGCGTTCCTTTGCTAATAGAATGGTGTGTTCTTTAAGAAACCGCTTGAAAGTTTTGGGTAATCCTACCTTTCCCTGTCAGTTCGCCAGCTTTTCAATTACTATCAATTTTCCGGTGTACCCGGCAACCATATATATGATCAGAATTCTACGTAAATACGTATGTTCTTGTTCAAAAAGCTACGGCATTCAGCGGGGGACTTCACTCTGTCTATGTGTGAGTCGAAAGCTTTCCTTCAAGCGTTGAATTTTTGATATATTTTCTTGTCACTTGTTTATATAGAGTGTTCGAAAAAATTATAACCGCACCATATTTTGATAAGTTTTAACATGTTATTTCTTTTTCTTGTAATTTAATTTTGGTTATTTTTTATAAAAATATTGTTCTTTTTTTAACAGAACTCAAAAAAATTCAAATATCAAACTTTGTTCAATATTTAAAAAATTCAAGAAACTTTCGTAAAAATGTTATGTTAAATAATGGAGCGCTGATTGCCTGAAAAGCTTGGTATCTTCGGATATACATATCGTTACCTTTATATAGAAAGGCCCTAACTGATATTGTCGCTGAAATACAAAAAGCCGTAACTAAGTAAAAATCCAAAATTTCCCTTTTGATTGTTTATGATGCATTTCATCCAATTATAAATCCGCACATCATTTTAATTTTAATTTTAGTCAGTTGCGGCTTTTTTTGCGTTTCAGCGACTATATGAGTTAGGGCCTTTCTATATTAAGATAACGATATGTACAGACATATCGAGCCCTAACTGCCAAAATAACGTAAGCGACATTTTTTTCAAAATTTTCTTTTTGATGCAGAAAAGCATCGATATGTATGTTTGTGCAGTTCTGCACATAAAATAAGTTTGGTAATTTTTTGTTGAATTTGGTAACTTTTTCTGGTGATTTTGGTAAAAAATAAAAAAATTGTGTGGCAACACTGGTGTACGTATACAAACGAGAGAGCAGCGATGAGAACACGACAGCATGCAAAATGAAGTAGGCACACTAACACATTCTCACTTTTAGCTCACGCTTCCCAATTTGCCACAGGGCGAAGACGACGTCGTTACGACATCGTTGCGACGTCGTTCTGGCGAAGTCATTTTGGCGAACTCGAAATGACGTCTTTACGACATCGCTCTGGTGAAGTCGTTTGGATGAACTCGAAACGAAGTCGTTTTTTCCATATAAAATTCAACGTCGTTCCGACGTCGTTTTTCTCATCGAATCGAAGTCGTTGTGACGTTGGTCTGGTGAAGTCGTTTGGGTGAACTCGAAACGAATCCGTTTCATCGAACCCACAAGTTTTTTGAGGAACCTTCGGCCTGGGTTGGACTAGTTCCACGCCCATATATAAGTATAAATAAAAGTCATTCATTTCGATAGTAAACCGTTTTTATTATGACAGAATATGGAATCCACAATGTATACTTGTGCTCAGAATATTAAGCCGCCTACATCCTTTTTTCAGTATTCATAATATTCTTCGTATTGATTTTTATTTTTTATTTTTTAATAAAGGTACAGTTCACTCTATAGGCCTTATTAATAAAAAAATAAAATTTGTGGGTATGAAGTTTTTTTAAATTTGGTATAAAACTGTACTTTTACTTTTAATTTGGTATAAATTTTGAGCATCGTATTGCAGTTCGCAGGTATATCGTTGTTGCGGGCTGCAGGGGAGTCCTTTTTCCGACCCGCCGGCGAGTCGTTTTTGGGACCCGCCGGTATTTCGTTTTTTCGACTCGCCGGCGAGTCGTTTTTGCGGCCCGCTGGCGAAGTGTGCTTTTCATCCGACGGCGAGTTCGCCGGCGAGTCGTTTGTGACTGTCGCCGGCGAACAAATTGTTCACCAAAACGAGTTGGAAACGACTCCGTAATATGCGTTACGGCGTCGTTTGGCAAATTGGGTTGTTTGTGGTAGTGCCCACCAGCGTTGCCAGGTTGACGTTTTTAACGTCATTTGGACGTTTTTTGTATCTTGTTGACGTTCGGACTTTTTTGTGCAAAAAATGGCGTTTTTTAACTTCCCAGCAATTTTTCTATGTTACTAAATCTTTTAAGTAGAACTGATTTTGAATTATTTTCTTAATAAATCTTAACAAGCTTTGTTTTTGGCAGCAGCTTCTTCAAAAAAAATGTGTCCTTGTGACACAAAAGACTTAAATACGATGCATACCAAGCGTATGCGCATTTTTTTTGATTCTTGGACTAAGGATCCCGCGTTCAAAGGCTGGTTTTGTAAACACTTGAAGTTACGAGGCTTATTGCAATGTTAGCAAGTGCACATTAAAATCCAAATCAGGAAGAGCTGATCTACATATTGCAACACGCACGCTCGCAAAAGCACCAAAAAAGCTGTAGCAGCATAAAAATTCAGAAAAAAGTAGGCAACTTTTTTAAGACTTCATCGAAAATGTAATGAACGCAAAAAAAAACTGAAATATTGCTATGTTCCTTCCTAGCAGAACGTAATTTAGCATTTTCGACAATCGAGCACCTAACCAAATGTTTACAAGAGAGTAAAAATTATTAAAAATCAACGCGATTCTTCGGCAACTTAAAACTTGCACATTATTACCCTGGAAATGGGCGATCAAACTGCATACTCAAAAAAATTCTTAAAAATCCGAATAAAAACTTGAAAATTTAGCTGAAAATTTGCAGATTTTTTATAATTTTTGCACAAAGTTTTAAATGTGGATTTATATTTTTTTTGTTATATAATGAGCTTGGCTTTTATGGAAAAATAATAAACATTAAATAAACGAAAGAAAAACAGCCACAATCGATCAAAATATTGATGACTTAATCAGCTGATGACAAGTGTATATATAAATGATTTTTTTATTAACAATTTCAAACCAGTTTACAATGAATTTTAAATGAGCTCTATCAAAATGACATTATAATACACCCTACTTATGTATGTACCTTTGTATACAGTAAAAGTTTAATAAGAACAATTCTGTGTGCATACATTTGAAAAAGACGTTTTTGGGCAGGAAATGACGTTTTTTCCGACCAAGAGGGACGTTTTCTCATGCCGAAGACCTGGCAACACTGGTGCCCACCTCTGCTCATAAGCCTTGGTTTAAAAATAAGGCTTGTAATATGCGTGTATATGATATTAAGCTGATTAATAGATTAATAACTGGCCATACTTATGGAAATATGTATTTGAGTAATTTGCTAGAGGTGTAAGTGACCAAAGCTCTTGCTGCCATACCACTGAATCCTTGGATGTCTTAATTTTTGAATGTTCCAGGTAAGCTGCTGTTAGGAATGATTTTCGGATTTTCAGTAAATATACTGAATTAAAAGATATTTTATGTTATAACAATATTTGTGAGTACAAAGAACTGAAAAAATATTTTGACAAAATACAATTGTTAAAAGATTTATTTATGAATGGAAAAAATAAGAAAAACCAACCAGCCCTCTTCTGGTTTGAGGTAACGCGGATGTGCAGACCTCCGCGCTACCTCCTAATCCAGGGTGTTAAGCGACACCGTGCCTATTGGACGGCTTGCAGCCAGGAGGGTATAAACCGGCTGTATTTGAACGGCGCCTTTCTGATACTGAGCCGCATCGGGGCGCTGGCGCGGCGGACTTTTGGAGATCCCCTACGAAAAATTTATACCACTGAGCTCGCCTCGTCAAGCAGGTGGTCATACGAACTAGATGGTGACAAAAACAGCAACCAAAAAACAAAAAAAAAGAAAATTTTACAACAACAACAGCCACAACAACAGCAAGTACAGTAAAAATAACACCCGCGGCTTTAAATGCGGCCCAAGAAGTGCTGAGCCGAAAGGCAGTTTCCTAGACCAGCTAACCGCCGAGGAGGCAGCGCTGTTCATCGAACATGCAAAGGACGACGACCAACCAGGAACCAGTGCAGATGCGCTACGTCGCATGGGCCAGAGCAAAACAGGTAGTTTTAAAAACAGTAATTTGACAGGAAATCACAATTTACCTGCCGAACTAGATCGGCCGCAACACCGGTCCGGCAGTTCTCTTTCCAGGTACAGAGAGACAGCAAGGTCAGACAGCAGCCACCGCACCGATGGTAGTCACCACTCCAAGAACCGGCATCGCTCGGGTAGCCGGCGCCGCTCTACAAGTCGACACCGCGCAAAGAGTCGGCAGCGCTCCAAGAGCCGGCGCCGCTCCGAAAACGGTCACAGGGCGGAGAAGGAGAGACTCCATAGGTCGCACAGCAGTAGCGCCTCAGCAGCGTCCGACGACTCCGGGTGGCAGAAGCAGAGGAGTAGGAAACATCGCAGGGCCAACCCTCCTCCGATGTCGCGGCCAGGTCAACCGGGGTCACTAGACGATCGGCTTCGCGAGGGCTTAAGCGGTTACGGGGTTAAATGGTACCTGCGGTACCTCGGTCAAGGCAAGCCCTCAGTTGAAGCCAGAGCTATGGCAGAGGTCAGAATGGAGATAGAGAATGAGGGACGTGAGAGACACAGAAAAGTCGACAAACCCGCACCCGCCGATAGGTGGAAGAGCGGGCCCAAAAAACAGGCACACTTACCCGCACTTGCTGAAAAGCAGAAGAGCGGGCCACAGCAGCACAGACCCGCGCCCGCTAAAAGGCGGAGAAGCGAGGAACCAACAGGCTCTAACAAAAGAGGTAGCAACCAGGTCACTCCGCCAGAGACACTGGGCACCAAACGGCAGCGGGAGCAGCCACCCCCTCCGAACTCATGGTCTAGGAGCCTGGCCGGGCTGACCGAGTAAGGGCAGGCGCAGGGGGGTGCCACTTAGCAACCCAGCTATTCGTAAGCTCTCAAGGGCATTCGGGTAGCGGTGCTGCCTTGTGAGTACCCTGCTGCTGCCCTGAGCTCGGAAGACCTAACCAGACTCCAGGATGCCATCATGGAAGAGGTTTTCAAAGGATGGTCGCACCCGCTGGTGTTCTGTGGGGTGTACTTCAGATCCGGCATGCTCCTGGTCGACTGCAGGAACAAGAGAACAGCAACTTGGCTGGTGAAGAAAGCACCGGCACTTGAGGGCTGGAAGGGACCCGAGATGTGCACGAAGAGGGGGATGGCATCCCTCCAGTGCATAACATCACGGTGTTCCTGCCAAGGAGCGCCGACAAATCGGCGGAGTTTGCGTTGGGGCTACTAAAAGCGCAGAATGAGGGCATCCACATCTCTGCGTGGAAGGTAGTGTCCAGCTCCGTAGAGGAGAACGGGCTCAGACTAGAAAGAAACCGCTCCACCTCATCGTTGAGTGGGGCAGCACGGATACGAACCGCAGAGGTGAGTGTCTCCTAGAGTACATTTTAAGTGAGGAACTAAGCATACACAATGTTGGCCACACACCGACATTTGTAACGAGGGCTAGGGAGGAGGTACTAGACATCACGCTAGCCACAGACTGGCTAGTCCTCTGGTCACCCAGTGGAGGGTCTCATCGGAGCCCTCACTGTCAGACCATAGGATTATCCAGTTTGCACTAGGAGTAGAAGTCAAAACAAGGCAGGCAAACAGGAACCCCAGGAAAACTGACAAAGTACAACGAGACTTTAGAGTCAAACCTAACTGGAATTAAGTCCAGGAGTAGGTACACTAACTGCATGAGCCTAGGGAGCACCGTCAATGAGTTAAATGGCGCTATTGTAGATGCCTTTCACTCAAGCTGCCCGGAGACAAAACCAGGAGGGAAGGCGCAGCCCAACTGGTGGTCTCGGAAGATATCGGTGCTCAGAAAGGAGGTACGCAAACTATTCAATAGAGCAAAGCGCACAGGGCGCTGGGCTGAGTACTCAGCAAGTCTAACTAATTACAGTAAAGAAATCAGGAAGGCTATACATCGCCTCCTTCAGCCGCCAGGCTGCACAAGGCCTTGACAAGGGACCATACAGATACCAGACTAGCAATCCAGCTAGCCAATGGCACTTACTCAGGCAACGAAGAGGAAAGGGCACTTGCCCTGCTTTCGGCCTATTTCCCGGATGCCACTCCCACTAGTCCACGGACTAGACCGTCCCCAGCGGACTGGAAGCTGGCTAGGAGTTTATTTACCCACCGATCAGTCTGCTGGGCGATGGACTCCTTCGATCGGTATAAATCCCCCGGGGTGGGTGGCATCAGTCCAGTGTTGCTGAAGCAAGGCAAGGAGCTCCTACTTCCACACCTCGTGTACATCATGAGGGCTAGCCTAGCTCTCGCTCACATCCCTTAGGTGTGGCAAAGGGCTCGGGTTATTTTTATCCCGGAGATAGGAAAGAGAGATTATTCTCTAGCTAAGTCCTTCAGGCCGATAAGCCTTACCTCCTTTCTGCTTAAGGCGATGGAGAAGGTTATCGACCATGAAATCAGGAACAACACCCTTAAACAGGTGCCTTTACACCCCGACCAACATGCCTGCAGAGTGGGCAGGTCTACGGACACCGCACTGTATACCTTGTCTACGGTAGTACAAGATGCCTTTGAGTGTGGGGAAACAGTACTCTGTGCCTTCATCGACATCGAGGGGGCGTTTGACAACACCTCTCATATTAGTGTCGACCGGGCACTTGAAAACCGCAATGTGGAGGTAACGATCCGCAGGTGGATAGCCAGGCTACTAAATTCAAGAATCGCTGAAACCGACATCGGGGACAGCGTGGTACAGCTAAAAACTACAAAAGGTTGCCCGCAGGGAGAAGTCTTATTCCCTCTCCTGTGGAGCTTCGTTGTGGACGAACTCTTTCGGATTTTCACGGACAATGGCATCCGCTGGCAAGGCTATGCGGATGACATTGTGATTATCGCCAGAGCAAAGTTCGTGAGCACTCTCTGTGATATAGTGCAAAGGGGACTAAACCTGGCAAGAAGCTGGTGCGTGGACATGGGCCTCAGCATCAACCCCTCTAAAACGGTTATTGTCCCTTTCTCTAGAAGAAGAATGCTTCCAGGCATGAGGAACATTTTTTTGAATGGGGTCGCCATCAACCTCGCCACCGAAGTTGAATACCTGGGACTAACACTGGATTCTAAACTTCTGTGGAAGGCACATGTTGACGCGGTCACTTCCAAAGCTACGAGGGCACTAATGGTATGCAAACGCCTGGCAGGGAAGACCTGGGGCTATAGTCCCAAGATCCTGAGATGGATGTATACCATGATAGTGAGACCAATAGTCACCTATGGAGCAGTGGCTTGGGTCTCGAGAACCACTCTCACTACGGTGAGGCAATCCCTCACCAAGCTTCAACGTCTGGCATGTGTATGCATTACGGGGGAAATGCGAACATGTCCGACGGCAGCGCTGGAGGTGATTCTCGAGCTCAAGCCGCTGCACCTTACCATAGAACAGGCTGCAAAGCGAACGCTACTAAATTTCGCGAGAGAAGGCTTTGGCAGAGGCAAAACCCTATCATTAAGGAACAGAGACAAGCTAGGCTCCCAAGTTCCGTTAGCTTTACTCCCCAAAGACACAGGCGTAAGATGGTTAACTTTGACAGGAATTTCAAAATAGAGCTTTGCACCTCTCTCATGGAGAGGCTTATCCAATCGAGCTCGTTGCAATGGTACACAGACGGCTCGAAGACTCCGGAAGGCATTGGCGCTGGCNGCAGAGTGGGCAGGTCTACGGACACCGCACTGTATACCTTGTCTACGGTAGTACAAGATGCCTTTGAGTGTGGGGAAACAGTACTCTGTGCCTTCATCGACATCGAGGGGGCGTTTGACAACACCTCTCATATTAGTGTCGACCGGGCACTTGAAAACCGCAATGTGGAGGTAACGATCCGCAGGTGGATAGCCAGGCTACTAAATTCAAGAATCGCTGAAACCGACATCGGGGACAGCGTGGTACAGCTAAAAACTACAAAAGGTTGCCCGCAGGGAGAAGTCTTATTCCCTCTCCTGTGGAGCTTCGTTGTGGACGAACTCTTTCGGATTTTCACGGACAATGGCATCCGCTGGCAAGGCTATGCGGATGACATTGTGATTATCGCCAGAGCAAAGTTCGTGAGCACTCTCTGTGATATAGTGCAAAGGGGACTAAACCTGGCAAGAAGCTGGTGCGTGGACATGGGCCTCAGCATCAACCCCTCTAAAACGGTTATTGTCCCTTTCTCTAGAAGAAGAATGCTTCCAGGCATGAGGAACATTTTTTTGAATGGGGTCGCCATCAACCTCGCCACCGAAGTTGAATACCTGGGACTAACACTGGATTCTAAACTTCTGTGGAAGGCACATGTTGACGCGGTCACTTCCAAAGCTACGAGGGCACTAATGGTATGCAAACGCCTGGCAGGGAAGACCTGGGGCTATAGTCCCAAGATCCTGAGATGGATGTATACCATGATAGTGAGACCAATAGTCACCTATGGAGCAGTGGCTTGGGTCTCGAGAACCACTCTCACTACGGTGAGGCAATCCCTCACCAAGCTTCAACGTCTGGCATGTGTATGCATTACGGGGGAAATGCGAACATGTCCGACGGCAGCGCTGGAGGTGATTCTCGAGCTCAAGCCGCTGCACCTTACCATAGAACAGGCTGCAAAGCGAACGCTACTAAATTTCGCGAGAGAAGGCTTTGGCAGAGGCAAAACCCTATCATTAAGGAACAGAGACAAGCTAGGCTCCCAAGTTCCGTTAGCTTTACTCCCCAGAGACACAGGCGTAAGATGGTTAACTTTGACAGGAATTTCAAAATAGAGCTTTGCACCTCTCTCATGGAGAGGCTTATCCAATCGAGCTCGTTGCAATGGTACACAGACGGCTCGAAGACTCCGGAAGGCATTGGCGCTGGCGTCTACGGATAATGCTCTCGGTACCCATGGGGGCATACCCGAGTATCTTCCCGGCGGAGGTCTATGCCATCAGTCTGTGTGCACAGATTAACCTACGTAGGAATTACCGTAACGAGAGAATTTTAATATTGAGCGACAGCCAGGCGGCACTCAAGGCCCTCTCATCATTTGAGGTCAAGTCTTCCTTGGTGCATCGATAGGCTCAACAGCCTGGCGGAGCACAAGGAAATCCAATTAACTTGGGTACCAGGTCACATAGGAGTTGCGGGCAACGAGGAAGCGGACGGACTAGCTAGAATGGCGGCCGCCTCGTCGCCTATAGGGCCTGAGCCCTTCCTAGCGATTGGACCTAGCACAGCTGAGGAAAGAAAGGAAGAGATTAAGGAATCAACACTGGCGTAACAATACAGGTCTACGTCAAGCAAAACACCTACTGGGAGGCTACAACCTTACGAGGTACAGGGCGATTATCAAGCTAGGGATCTGGTCAAACGACCTATGTCGTTTCTGCGATGTGACTGTGGGGACTCCCGTGCACCTGCTTAGCGAGGCGGTCGCGAGAAGACGGGAGAGGTACCTGGGCCATAACTGGCCAAGTGACGAAGCAATACAATCGCTAATCCCTGTGGATCTCCTCAAATTTTTGGGCTCTCTAGGATTAGATGAGGTACTGTAAATGGCTGAGGGCACAATAGACCTTTCGGTTGCAGTGCATATCTCTATTAATTATCTATCTATCTATCTATGTATGTCTTTCCATAACTTTAATATTTTTGAATCTTCAAGTGTTAATTTGTATTGTTACGATTATCCTCGAAACCTTTAGGGATTTCCCAAATATCCTACGGCTCGTATCGCTGGATTTAAATAAATGCTCACGATGACCAAATTGTAGTACAATTAACTTTATTGTACAACAAACAATTTACAATACTCGCTAATACCGTAAAAACACTTTCCAATACTCGTTAAAGCAATTACAAGC